TTGATGCCCGTGATGTTGCTCCATCTCCTGCATGGGCTGTAGACTAGTAATCCTCTTCCTGACATCATGCAGGACGTCGGCGGTTAGGTACAGTTGCAGGTGGAGGCTCGTGGCTTCTGAGCTTGACAGGCCGGACTCAAGCCACAGCTTCCCCCCCGACACCCCAGCTGTCCAGTGCGGATGCAACCAGAAAGGTGCAGGCGCGAGCCAACCGGACGCCTGAGCAAGTGGCGGCGGATCGAGCAGCAGCTGCAGCGTGATGGGCAGATGCACGAGCCAACCGGACACCTGAGCAAGTGGCGGCGGACCGAGCAGCAGCTACTGCTCGGTGGGCGTGGTGGTCGGAGGCGCGAGCCAACCGAACGCCTGAGCAAGTGGCCACGCATCGAGCAGCACATGCAGCTCGGGTAGCAGAGGTGCGAGCCAACCGAACACCTGAGCAAGTGGCGGCAGACCAAACAGTGGACGCAGCTCGAAAGCATCAAGCCCGTGTGATTCGGCAACAGTCATCTGAGGAGCACACACCACAACACACCCGCCGCAGCAGGGGTAGCCTTGTGGAGGCAGTTTTGGATGCTGCCTTCTGGGTGTTCAGGCGGCCGACAAACCCCACCAAGCCTCGTATGGGTGCCTGGTTAGACAGCAGTACAGCTTCATGGCCAGAACATGTGCAAGATGTTCCTGCGGGTCAGCCTCTGCCCACTGTAATTCCCTTAAAAGCTTCTGTTAGGGTTTAAGGTTTAGGGTTTAGGGTACAGATCCGAGTCGCCGAACAGCTTGATGCCACTGTCAAAAACAACATGCCATCCTGTGTCTGCACCTGCTGCAGCGAGATGAAGTCCGCGGTACAGGCACACGGCTACCGGTTTGGTGACATCCCCAACGTGCACCAGTTGCGTGCAGATGTTTGGAGGACGCTGGCAGTGGCGCGTCCAGCTCAAGTCGTCGCATGGCTACCAGTGACAGCCGCCAGAGCACCACCACCGCCCGAGCCAGCTTTGCCGTGGGGCTTCCGAAAGATGTGGCTCAATGGGCATTCTACGGAGAAGACGGGGCTCACCAAGCGTCCTGGTACGACAGGGGACTCTGGTGGTTCGGATGACCAAGAGCACCGCCAGCCCACCCAGCAGCACAGTTCGTTGCAACAGGCGCGGGACCATTTGGGCAACACTGGAGCATATGGCTCTTCCCGGAAGACTTTCCACCGCATGAGGCGGGCCCATCTAGTCTGCCACAGTGATGTCGGCGTGAGACAGATGGTGTTGACGACAAGCAGGAGTCTATTCTTTCCGATGAAGAAGCAGGAG